GGGAAAGAGAAAAGCTGACTTCTGTGCCTTGTCCGGAGAGCATGGCCAGAAACAAAACAAGTAGTCAGCTTCACAGCAAAGTTGTCCTATTTCATCCCTGTTCCCAGTGTAGCAAGTTAGATGCATTGCTTCACTGAAGTATTGATGATTTCATTTGACTGAAGTGGCCAGCAGGATACTGAGTCATGCTGCAGTACATGGAGAGACTGTTGGTTTGGATCTGACCAACAGTAACCATCAGCAAAGCTGCCTGTAGAGCACAAGCAATCAAGCTGTTGTTACTAAATGAATTGTATGAAGCTTAAGACCTCTGATGAAATACTGTTTCTAAAAATGTCAGAGCTTTTCAGTTGCTTTTATAGTTTGACACAACTGTCTACTGGGGGCGTGGAGGAGGAAGGGTAAGGTCAAAATGTACCATGAAGTGCATTCCCAAAACAGAGCAGAAAGGTACCTGCCCAGTAAATTACATTTTCCTTTTCCCCTCCATTTGGCTAAGCAGAAATCTCTGAAGAGATGACTCTTAGGGTGAAATGAGAAATGCTTTAAAACACAGTTCCCAGGATACTTTTTTAAATTTGTCTGGTCTCTTTACTCAGCCTAAAGAGAGAAATGCGCAAGCTTGCTCAAGAAGAATGTGGTTTTGAAGAGCCCACGGTGGCAATGGCCTTTGTCTACTTTGAGAAGCTCGCTCTCAAGGGGAAGCTGAACAAGCAGAATAGAAAGCTTTGTGCTGGAGCCTGTGTTCTTTTAGCAGCCAAAATTGGCAGTGACCTCAGAAAACATGAAGTCAAGCATCTTATAGATGTACGTATCCATAGTTTCTTGTGTTCTTCTACATGTGGTCTATGCAAGCCTGCTTGTCAGTGTGTCATGCTGTCCTCTAGGGTTTCCAGCTATACAGCCAGCTAAATACCTTTTTTTATTGTGTATTGATGTGGAACTAGAAGTGCTCAGTGTCACTGCAGAGGCGTGGGAAGCTCGTTTGAAGTGATTGAAACCCCAGTGTCAGGTACTGTGAGGTCTGAGAGGTATCTGACCACTATTCTATCAATACAAGTCAAAAGTTAACCCTCAGGAAATTCATTTTGCTTTTAATTGCATTTTCAAGACTGTCAATAAGGACTCTCCTTTGAGAGGTGAATACAGATACTAATTTCAGAGGGAATCTAATAGGTTACCAAATTTGTAATTCTGTCATCAAGTTAAGCTTTTGGGCATAGAAGCCTAAATAATTGTTCCTGTTAGAACATCTCAACACCTCACCCCAGCTGTTCTTTTGTGGAGTAGGGTGTTTGGTCTTCCACCCACTCCATATGAAAGCATTAACAAATGGATTATTCCATAATCCACTGGCAAGCATCAAGATACCACTCTGATTTAACACTACAGAAAGTTAGGGCAGGTAGCTTAGTACATCCCTACAGCCAACGCACTCAGTTCAACAGACATGGAAACTTGCTTAGGGGACAGAACTGAACTCATGCCCTTCTGCCACAGTCACAGAGCTGAGTCCATTTGTTAGAAAGGCCTCTGAATAAAGAGGAAAAAATCAACCTGGTGGAAGTTGGAAGATCTGGCCTCTCCTGCTATCCTGAAACATTGGTCCATCCTTAAGACTTGTTGAGCTTTTCAGTATACCCAGTGGGCAGAGAAGAAGTAGCATGCCAGGAAAATGGTAAGAAGAGGACAGGGAGGAGAGGGGAGTTCCTGAACAGCTGGTTGCCTACTTGTAGCATCCAAATTCAGGGAAAACACCAGAGCAGATGGGAGGTTTAGTACATTACAGCAAAAAACCAACTATGAACCCCATCTCAACCCCCTTTGAGGATACTAGTTTCTGTTACTCACAGAAATGTTGTTGCAGATGACACCTTCTGTCTCTCAGGAATTAAGATCAAATGTCTCTAATTGCAGCAGGAATAATTTCCTCCATAGGGTGTTGTCACACAGTCTAGTGCTGCAGGGACAATTAGTGATTTCAAGCGGCGCAGGAAGTTTGTGCGCAGTTATGAGGTGCGTGTCTCCCGTTACACGGGGGATTCTGGTGTTTGCATGAAGCTCCTCTTCCTGCAGCAGCAATCACCGTGATCGTTAGAAAATGTGTCTGCTGGGGATGGAAGGAGTTAAATTACCGATGTGTCAGAAATAGCCTGGCTGGCTGAGCTTTGTATGTTCACCTTCCCAGTAAGGAATCAGTACATCCAGTTCATCGCACTCCCATTTGCTAAACCTTCAGCCATGCAAGCCCAGCAGGGCAGAGGTTTGATGACTGACATCAGCACACGTGTTCTCAATAACGTCCTCTGTGGCACCCGCAGGAAGCGAGCCCAGGGAAGCCAAAATCCTCATTCATTCCCACGGACTTCCTTTAATTATTTTGTTTTCTTCTCCGGCCGCCCCTGCAGAAACTGGAAGAGAAGTTCCGGCTGAACAGGCGAGAGCTGATCGCCTTCGAGTTCCCGGTGCTGGTGGCCTTGGAGTTCGCCCTCCACCTTCCCGAGCACGAAGTGATGCCGCACTACAGACGCCTGGTGCAGAACTCCTAGCGCCGGCTGCCCGGCGGGGAAGGGGCTCCCGACTGTTCCCGCTTGGCTCTCCCGAGCTGCCGCTACTACTGGAAGTGCAAAATCAGACTCCTAACGCTTCCGTCTCTCTCTCTCTGTCTCTCTCTCTCTCCCCCAAAACAGTTCTTTCCGGCAACCGGTAGGGAAGCGCCGCCTCGGCGCAAGACTCTCTCAGCTTTGACCAACGTGCGTGTCGTTGCTTTCTCAGGGCAGGTGAAGCCTGAGCTGTTGGTAAATGGTTAGGGTGTTGAGTCTGGGTGGCAGCCCACCCTGCCTGTGGGGACGACAGCTGTACCGGGAGGCCAAAACGAGAAGGGCAACCTCCACCACCACCACCCCTCTCTCTGTCTCTCCATCACACAAACCAACCCCCAGAGGCCCAACGCCAGCGCATCCTCACCGCGCTTTTTCTACAGACCTGCTGCGACCCCCGGAAGGACTCCTCAACGTTGTGAAAAAGCTTTTTTTAAAGAGGATTATCTCTTCACTGTGTCAGAAAAAAAAAGAAAAGAAAAAAAAAGAGAATGTGCCAATCTATTTTTGTATCAGCAATTGGAAGTGCACTTTTTTCCTGTGGGGTGTTTTGTGTGCGTTACCCGTGTGCGTGTGCGACACCGAACTGGTCTCAGTCCGGGTGGTTGGCTCAGCTGTGTCCGAGTGTCTCAGTTACCCATGGCCAAGATCAAGGTGACCTTACCTGTTTACTTCTTGAAAAGCAGAACTACTGGAAAAGTGGTAACATTTTTGAACACTTTTGAACACTTGGGGTTTTTTTTATTCTCTGATCTTTCCCAATGTTGTACCTTTGAAAGGATTACACTACTACTACAACTACAACAACTACTACAACAACTACTACTACTACTACTACTACTACTATGAGAGAAGGATCAGCAACTGACCTGAAGTTTGCAGTTACGTTTGTGAAAAAGACGAAAGCATTGGTATGAGATTCCCATGTCATGTTTTTTAAAAATATCTTGTGTTAAGCCACATGCATATTTTTAACCTTCGCACTTTTCCCACTGTGGAGATGGTTAGACTTGCACTCTGTAGTGTTGTATTTCTGTGCTCTATGTTAGAGTGCGTAATAAGCACATTTATTGTGCTGTATCTTAAAACAGTGTTTTATTAAACAAAAACAAAAAAAACCCACACAAAAAAAAAGAGTAGAGCTCAGCAGTATAACAGGTGTCTTAAAGCTCCAACAGCAGGGGCATCAGCTATTGTTGAAATGTTTGGTTTTTAACTAGAATTGACTGTGCAAAACCTAAAATCAGCACCCGTTAAAGGTCCAGTTCCTTTAGACATTTCAGTACTGGAGTTTTACAGTAAACTTCTTCCAGCTTCCCTGGTTCTGACTGGACACCCAGAAAGTTGGAGGGTCTCATCCAAGCTCCTCGATGCTATGTACACACTAAGCTAGCCCCATGCTTACAGACATGGTTCAATTGCTGTCATCCTGTGGGATTACCTCCCTGTCCAACCTTCTCCTGTGCTGGTTCACTTAATAAGCTTTGCCCTCGACATGCCCCACATGGATCTGGTGAAGTCAAATACTTACATTTATGGTATTTTTTATTAAAAAAAATTAAAATCTCGACCGTGAGATTTTAGCTGAAGCCTTACCTCTCTTAAGTTTGGGAGTGCTTGCTCAGAGTACAGAAAGGGCTTGTGAGCAGAATGTAGAGAAGTGGGACATCCCAGAGGATGTAAACACACTAATGCTTACTTTCTTTTGCTCTTACTTTAATCAGTTTTATTATTTCCTTCAGTTAGGCCAAGAAACATCCAGTTTCTTTACCAACTTTGACTCCTTTTAAGTTCTGGTATGAGAAATGCCTGCCTGTGTTTGCTCTGTAGGATCTGGAAAGGTTACATATGTCAGGATAAATGGGAATTTGTTTGATGCTGTTGCTCTCCCTCCATTTTATGGGGGAGGGTGACCATGCTAGCTTACAGTTATTAGTAATACTTACCTAGTTACTGATATTGCTACATTCCAACAGGACTGGGGAGGAGGGGGTAAATAGAAAAGTGAGCACTTACCTCCCCAGTGCAACCCCCCATGTCACCGCAACCCACCCATCACTCAGCTGGCTGTGGAGCAAGGGGAGGGGAGCCCTCACCCCAGCACTCCTTCTCCCTCCTCCTTCTCCTCCCAGCCCCCCAGCAGCAAGGAACAGAGGAGCCAAGAGCCTGGAGCACACCCAATGCCTACAGCTGCCCTGCTGGTTTATTTAGTCCAAAAAGGCAGGGCAGTGTTGACCTCCAAGCCAGAACAGTCTACAGGTCTGCTAGGAGGGCTTCCATCCTTGGCTGCATCCCCCCAAAATCGTATATATATGTTCAAGATTTGCTTCAGATTGCAGAGATCTATTTCTAACAGCGACCACTCAAGGCTGAGCAGAAGCTTTACCTTTCTGTAAAGGCTTCTACCTTTTGCTTTTGAGTCTTGATTTCTTTTTCTTTTTTTTTTTTTCTTTTTTTTTTTAATGTTGCTTTAGAGTATTGCAGGGGAAAAGAGCAAATTGTGATTGTGAGATGCAGGCTGAAGAATGACAGTCTTACAGTAGTCTTTAGAGACGCTATTGAGTCACACTGTCACATCTTTCGTCTTCTGTGCTGCTACCCAACCCTGATCTACAGTTTACACAGATTTCTGGGATGAAATCTGATTGCTGGAGACTTTCTGCTTTCCGTTATTGTTGTTTTGGGGGCGGGAAAGGGTTTTGGAATGATGTTCAGCTACAATTTGAATGTGGAATAAACACTTAAGATGGTGATGATGTTGCACTGTTCACTTAGGAACATTTATAAAGCCATATGATGCTAGATCTCAGAGCACAAAGCTTGGTCAGTACAATTATGGTTAGGACAATGGGCAGGATTTGCCCTCCTTTTCTCCCCAACCCTGGGAAAATTCAGGCTGAAGTGGTAGAGGAAATCTGCACCAAACAAGAAAGATGTTGATTGTTTGGCTTTGTCTTACATGGTAATGAATGTTGATTTACAAATGATTTTAGGTTCAACTTTAAATAGTTTGGGAAAATAATCCATTCCATATCACTTATTCTGCTTTGAAATTATATACCGTACACTCTACCATGCAGAGTTTATTCCTTTTTTAAAAAAATAAATATTTTTTAAAAATTGAAAAACCCAGACTCTTTTCCACTGGTTACAGTATGTTAAATTGTTCTGTTCTTTCACCTCTTTGTGTCAAATGGTTTTGGTTTCACCTTCCTCTGGGACATAAAGCTGCTTACTAATAAGCTAATGGTGGGATTGCCTGAGGGCATTCATCTCCCTGCAGAGCCCTTACTTGTAGGATCTTTCCTCCAGCCAAGATGTTCTTTCCAGACCATTGTTTCGGGTTGTTGTTTTTTTTTTCTGGTACCAGCTCCTCCTCCTGGAGCTTCCAGGCCCTGGTTTTCCCTGTGCAAACCATTGGTGTGTAGGACAATGCACAAGTGGGCTCCTCAGTATTGCTTGTGTCTCACAACCCCTTGTTCACTGGATAATTTTGGATAAGCCATTTTGGTTTAGTCAGGTGGTTCCAAAATTTACAACTGGCCCCTGTACCAGTGGGTAGTTCTCAAGCAGCTGCCTTTGCCTGGGAGGTTGAAAGTTCCAGTTTGGACATTCATACACGCACACACAAAATTATCCACCACCTATAGGCACATATAGACAACCTGGTCTAGTGGGAGGTGTCCCTGCCCATGCAGGGAGGTTGGAACAGGATGATCTTCAAGGTCCCTTCCAACCCAAACCATTCTATGATTCTATGATTCAAGCTATTTTTTTCCCACCTATAACAGTCCCTAAATCCAGCTATGTGGTCACACCAAACAACACGCATTTATTGTGTGTTTTCATTGCACACTAATAAAGTTAAGTGGGAGGTTTGGCTCTCTACCTCCACCAATCACCGTCTTGAGTTCTCTAGAGACCCTCTGCTGTAGATCATATTAGTGGCAATATGAGCATTAGTTGGATTTGCACAGACCCCAGAACGTACAAGGTATAAAGAAAAATGCTTTACTAATCCATTCCCAAAACTAATCCCTAACAAGCAAGTACAAACTTCGGGATAGTCTGTAACATCTTCAGATGAAAAAACTCCAGCTGACTGCCCCAGCCTTCTAAAATACAGATCCCACAGCGTAAGTCTTCCTTGGAAGCAGTGAGGAGCAGTGTGTTAGGAGATGGTAACACCTTCCCACGATGGTGAAGGATTTTTTCAACAGGCCTCAACATTAAAAAAAGAAAGAAGTAAAAGTAGTTTAGCGAGGTGAGAGAAAGAGCAATCACAGCAACAATGCCCACATCACTGACTTGGGTTAAATCTGTCTCAGGTTGCTCCTTTGGGGAGAGGGGGAGTGAGTGTGATTTGAGCTTAATTTGTTCATATGCCACTGTAAACTTTGTAGTGAAGAGTGGGGGGAAAAAAAAAATTAATAAAAAATGCATTCCTTCAAAGAGAGTTACACACAAGCAAAAAGGCCTTTCTGAAATCCTAAACCTTGTTCATTCCCAACAAATTCACTGTGAGCCTGTACAGCCAGAAACTCCCTGGAGCCTACCCAAAAAAACCTTGCTAAGACCCCAACAGCAAGTACCAGGACCAGCAGTGAGAGGAGCAGCAACACTTACAGCGTGCTCCTGGGAACTGAGATCCTGGAAAACAGCGTGTATAGCTTGAAAGCAAGGCAGGGAGGACCAAGAAGTTGCTGCTGATGAGTAACAAACACTTCCTCCCCTTGGCAAGAACTAAATGTTGGCTACTACAAGAAGCTAATTTACCCTTTCTAAACATTCCTCTAGCCTGTCATACATCCCTTCCCATAACCTTACTGAGCATCATCTTAAACCAGCTAGGACCCTTGCCTCTGCTGTTAAGACAGATGCTCCAGGACTTAATTCCTCAAACCAAACAAAGCCTTCCAATTTGCAGTCACATTTCACTGGTGACCAATTTATAACTTTTTGAGCTCAGGTCATTGTTTCATCTAACTTAAAACAGAAATCTTTTCCCTATGGGAACTCCAGGATGAAGAGGTCCTCAGCAGCAGCAGATACTCTTAAAAGAGTT